TAGACCAACTGACAGCACTGCAGGAGTTCATGGGCTTACCGGGGGACACGGACCCCCAGGGCTACACAGACGTGCCCGGACGTAGGAGTGAAGACCTTGTCTGCAATTTCGCTGGGCACCAGTTGGGCGCCCTGTGCCGATCACAAGGGCTGCTGGTATTAAATGGCCGTGTTTCTGGGGATTTAGAGGGTCGTCTGACCTTCCCCAAGGGTGAAGCAGGTGGGAGCATGATTGATCTTTTCGTAGGTTCGGCCGGTGTTCTCCGCCATGCCTATTGGATGTGAGTGGGCGAGCTACTCGCGCCAGATGGTTGGTTCCCGACTGACCACCGTCCAGTGACGCTAGTGCTTGGTCTAGCTGTAGGAGGAACTGGGACGAGTGCCAAAGGGTGCTGCCAAAAGAAGCGAGCAGTGTTTGAGATTTCCCGTTATCGTGACTATGCTGCTGTGTTCAATGATGGATCCCAGGTCATGCATGCACTAAATGGGGTGATCACGGACCTATCGAATGGGGCCTGCAACAGCACGGAGTCGGTGGAGCGCATTAGTACCCTCCTGCGGAAGGTGCTGATTCGAGTATTTGTGGGTCGCAGGCCTGAGGGTATGCAAGCGGGGGGTGGTGCATTATGGTGGAACGAGGAATGCCAAAGCGTCCGGCAGCACATGCTTGCCTGCAGGGTGCGGCTTGGCCCTGGCAGGGTCGAGAATAAGTCAGGCCCCTTGTGGGAAGCATTCTGCAAGGCATGTAATGCAATGAACCGTGCCAAACGTCGTGCCCGAGCAGCATATGATGCAGAGAGAATGCGTGAGTTCGTGGTAAGGTGCAGGCACGATCAGCGCGCACTATGGTGGGCCTTGGGAGGGCAACTCAAGGAGTGTTGCACGATTGATGACTTGCATGTATTTCGGGATCATTTTGCCACCTTGTTAAATGCAGGGGTTGGGGAGACGGGTGTTGAAGGTGCACATCGACTCCTTAACTATATCTCCTTTTTGGGGCCCCTTTGGGAGAGGGTGCTTGGCAAGCTTGTCGGACTGTCATGGACAGGAGAGCACGGGCAGCTAGCATCCTGGACGAGCCTTTCACCTTGGAGGAGGTAGCACGTGCTGTCGGTAGGTTACCAAACGGAAAGGCTCACAGGCTTGAGGCCATACCATCGGAATGCTACCGTTATGCACGCCTCCCACGGGTGGATGAGCAGGGCAGGCAGGGAACGGAGGTGAACTGTATCGTCCCAGTGCTGCACGTTTTGTTAGAGCACATCAGGGCAACTGGTGATTTTCCACAGCAGTTTACCAAAACGGTGGTATCCCCTATTTTGAAGAAGGGTGACCCGTTGGTGGCAGGAAATTATCGGGGCATTGCAGTTGGAGGAGCACTTGCGAAATGCTATGCGTCAGTGATCCTTAACCGCCTGGTACGTGCTGGGGAAATACTGGACCTGCGGCACCCATGCCAAGCGGGTTTCAGGCGGGGTTTTGGCACCGCTCACCACCTCTTTGTCAAGCAACACCTGGTCAGGCGGCATCGGATCGCAGGACAACCGCCGTTGATAATAGTACAGATTGACTTTGAGAAGGCCTTTGATAGGGTGCCTCGCGAGCACATGTGGCTTCGGTTGCAGGAGAGGGGGATTAGCGGCCCCATGCTAGGTGCTCTGAGAAAAGCGTACGAGAAGGTGTCCATGGTGATAAGGTAAATGAGAAAGTGGGGGGAGAGTTTGAGTCTAAGCAATGAGTGAAGCAAGGGTGTCCTTTATCTACTGAGTTGTTTGGACTTTTCATCGAGACACTAGCCGATCTGATTGATACTCATGACCTTGTAGAAGCTGGTGCACGTAAGTGTGACGCACCCCTTGTGGGCAGCAAGCGCGTCTCCATACTGTTGTATGCAGACGATGTTAGTCTGCTAGCGACGTCAGTAGAGCGAATGTCTGAGCTGCTACATCTTGTGGACTTGTTTTGTGAAGCTTTTGGGATGCGACCAAATGTCTCAAAGTGTGAAAGGCTTGTTTTTGCATGTGACGGCACCCAGCAGTCGGAACTTAGCGGGAGATGTCAACAGTTACGGCTATCAGGCCAGGTAGTACCTGCCAAAGATAGCGCTCGCTATCTGGGCTTGGTATATGGGCCAGAACGGCCTTTTAGTGCGTGCCGTCAGCAGTTGTGTGATACAGGTCGGTCCGCTATGTTTTCCTTAAGCGCAAAGCTGGACAAAATGAAGCTGTTTGCCCCCGATGTGCGAATGCGGTGTTTTGCAACCCAAGTCCGAGCAATTCTGTTGTATGGCTGCCAGGCGTGGGGCCCTTTTGCGCTGGCAGAGGTCGTGGACAGGGCGGGAAGGCGGCGGGATAAAGCCAACCTTGCGGAGGGCATGTTCGAAGCCTGTTTGAAGGATAGTGCAGTCCAGCTGCAGATTTTATTCATGAGGCAGGTAGTGGGGACGGCACGGCCATCCCACAGGCTGTTGTACGCGGAGCTGGCTGAACTCCCCTTACAATATTACATGGTGAAGCAGATCCTCCGTTTCTGGAACCGNCTTCAAAAGCAAGTGGGATCCATTGCTCATGCA